CTGAAACACACACACACACACACACACACACACACACACACACACACACACACACACACACACACACACTGTAAAAAAAAAAGTTTTTTCACTGAAATGTACTGTATTATTTTACAGACCTTTCTTGTTTTTCTATATTACGTGTAAATACCATAAAAATACAGTAAATTACTTTTATTTAAAATAAATAAAAGTTTTATTCTGTAAATTGGTTTGATGAGAAATTATCGTTTTTTTACAGGATAATTCCATTGTTTAATTGTCTTGAATGTTAAATTACATTTAATTCTATGTAAAAACACATAAAATACACATAATTTTACTGCATGTAAAATGAAGGCAACTTTCTTTTTTTTGTTGCAGTAAAACCTTAAATTTAATGTAACAAAATGTAAAAAAATCAAAAATAACTGTATTCTGTACTGTTGTAGAATAAAAATAAATCTTATTATAAAACATCTCTAAAATGTTAAATAAATGTATACATCTTCACAAAAAATGTAATATATTTTAGAAATACCCAAAAATGATTTTGTGTAAATAAAGTAGTTTTCATAGTATACTAAAATAGTTAACTGTAAAAAAAACCGTCAAATAAAAAAAACGTAAAATGTATGTAAAAAGCTACGGCGCTTGAAATGGAATCCAGCCATACAACGGCAGACAAGACAAGCAGGATTGGAATGAGTCCACAACACTCCTGATTGGTTGATATAAACGTCATCGAAAAAACCTGCCAATGAGCACTGTCCGCGCCTTTCAATCCAATTTGAAACTTCCACGTCAGTTTGAGCGGCTCTCCTGCGGAGCTACAGAGCTGTCTGTATGTCTGCTCACGAGTTTATGGACTAATATTGGGATAGTTTTACATCTACACCTTAAATATGAGCATCGGGACGTCCACAGAGAACAGAAGACTTGAGATCTGGTGAGTCCTGCAACTGTAATGGAGTTAAACATGTATTTAGATAATCCTTAGTTTGTGAATGTTTAATTGTGTATTTAAGGTTACGTTTCTTCTTCTAGTTCAGTGAGTTTTGAGTGATGAGACATATATTTTAAGGGAATCTGTGGAATCTCAGCTTTCATATGATACGTTTGTGCAGATAGCATGAAGTAAAAAAGATCGCTTTTGCCAGTTATGTGCTAAAGTAGCGTTAGCCCCGTTAGCTGTTAGACTTGTGTTTCGTTTAGTTAAAAATGGTTAATATAGTCAGTTAGCTGAGTTTATTCCCGTTAAGTGGGTAAGCATCATTAATAGGTTGTTAGTACATTTTAAGAAGTCCTGAGATGCTGTTTCTTGCAAGATGTCCCACCGGCGGGACAATCGGGCTATACAGGTTAACAAGGTGGCTGCTAACGTTAGCTTACAGCTTATTGCAGTGCTGCCGCCATCCTCTCGTCTCCAACGCGGGACGATTACACATAAACGTGCAGCAGGGTGTCACAGTGTTGTCGCCAATCTTATTGTAAAGTTTCACAGCTTTTTTACTGCGGAATCCAGTTTGTTAATGTTCAGTAGCCAACAGCTATCATAGCATAAACTGCTAACCACTAACGTTTGCTAACTTGCTAGTTAGCTCTGCTCTATATTACAAGCTAACATGACTAGCTAATGTCACACTGTGTGAACTAAAATAGTTGTTTTATTACTACATCATACATGCTTGGTCCAAATCTCTGCTAAAATTATTATTTTTAACAAAATTATCATTAAAGTATCTTTATTTTTTTGCATTTGTATCACACTTGGCATAAACTATTTTAGTTAATCAATTAGAACTGGAGAATTAATATAATGATTTGTGGTAATCAAAAACAATGTATTTAAAGAAACACTAGGAATAACATCGGAAATAATACGGATAATGTTTTACCCATGTTGTGCCTTAGAAGTGTAGTGATACAAACATGATTTTTATTTAAAAAAGTAAGAAAGTTCAAATGAAAATTGGTGTTGATCAAAAACAGGTTAATTGAGGAATACCTGGAGGTAATTTATTGCAAAGATATTTACAATTTAAACTAATTTGGGTCACTTTTGATGCATGTTGGTTGTATGTTGTGTAACAAAGGGTTAACATGACGGCTGTGATGTTCACTCTTTTGACAGAGCACCAGTGGACAGTGAGGACTATGGAACAGAAGATGTGATGGCTTTGTGTGGAAAGCTGCTAACGCCAGCCTGTGTCCCTCTCATCAGTCTCTCCTGGCAGCACCCAGCTATTCTTCCATCTTGTAGATGAAAAGACTTTGATATGTGAGTAATAACTAACTTGTCTCTAACATAATATTGAATGTCAGTGTTTCTCCTAGGTTTACTGTTGATATATTCTAGGGGTCGACCGATATTCCGCATTTGACCGATTATCGGTATCGGCCTTTTTTTTAATCAAATTGCCGATAAAGCTTTGGCTCTGATGCGGCCGTTTCTCTGGCTGCAGTCACCAGTCTGTGCACACGAGCAACGTCACGCCCACAGCGCTATCTGATAGGCTATTACTGAAGATGTTCTGGGCGGGAGACAGCCAGAGAGGCGGGACCTTCTCAGATTACAGGCAGGTGCGAAAGAACGCAGACACAGACTGAAGCAAGCAGCAGCGCTGAGCGGCAGAGCCATACATGTGTTAAACCGAAGTTCAATAAACATCCCTATCCCCTATGCTGAGGTTGCAAAAACACCACGATCTTATGATCCAATTCTATCAGTTTCCCAGTTACAGTCAGTCAGAGTTGGGGGTGCGTGCAGCGTCTCGCAGCGGAGTAACTGTGGTGGGGGGGGCTGCGAGTGGAGCCTCGCAGTGTTTCAGGTTGATATGTGAAGCTCATTAGCTAGCCAACATGTATCTAGCAAATGTTTAGCAAAATATTAGAAGTGAGGCTACTAGACTAACGTTAGGTCTACTGTGATAGCCTCGCTTTTAATAGTTTGCAAAACATTAGCTAGCACTAGTGTTTTGCAGTTGCTAGCAGCTTATTGGGATTGTATGCTAGATAGACAGATCTAATAAATTAAGCATTATTGTTGGTTAAGCGTGTCAGCCTGCAGCCCCACTTCTTGTCTCTCTCTCTCTAACTCATTGCAGATGACTGCACTAAAGAAAAGGGCACAGAGAGGAAACCAGTTGTAAGATGTTTAAAAGTTAAACATAATATAGGCTATGCTTAAATGCATTTCAAATAAGTTGTGTTGGAGTTTGTGTTATTCGTCATTTTGACACCAAGATTTTTTTTTTTACTGCAAATGTATATCGGTTCCAAATATCGGTTATCGGTCTCCTTGATTACTAATCATTGGTATCGGTATCGGCCTTGAAAAAGCCATATCGGTCGATCCCTAATATATTCTTTAAATCCTCTGGAGCAGAGGGAGGAGCTGTGGATTATTGTTATTGATTAATGCATCAGTGTTTCTTAGGGTCAAAAACACTAAACTCAACTTAAAATGAAAGCGTTAAGTTTATTTAATAAAAGAGCTCATGTTCAATGTGGAAAGTGACCGTAGATATAGATTAGTTGCAATTTGGTGCTATATGATATATATTTAAAAAAAAAAAAAATAATACAAAAAATATATATGGGTTAGGGTTAACCCTATCCAGTGGTTAGTTTTAGGGTAAGCTCCACTGTTTTTTTATTTTATTTTATGTATTCACTTTAAGAGAAAGGGATTTCAGAAACAAGTCGCACAAGTTTGGCTCGAGGTAAAATTAACAAAAGGTAACTGTTGTTACCCCTTCTAAACTTATGAAATAATGAGAAAATATGAACGACTCTTCATAGAGCCACGTCCACACAGCTTTAAAGTTGTAGGAAGCTGAAGCATTACATTCGTGCCAACGGCTAGTTGTCGTTTCTAAGGTATTAGAAAGTTGGTGTTCTGGAAGGTTTAGCATAGGATCAATGCCCTTGGGATGCTCTCAATAACTGTTTTACAATTTTGTGTGTGTGTGTTTTGTGTAACCCTGCTTCAAAGGTCCACCATACAAGATGTAGGGGATCTATTGGCAGCTGCTGATAATAACATCCATCATTATGGTTTACTAATAGTTATCACTTCACTTCCTCCTCCAGCACCTGGACACAGCAGGAACCTACGTCAGGATCCTGTTTGTGGTCTTTAGCGCCGCCTTCAACACCATCATCCCGGCTCTGCTGCAGGACAAGCTCTCCCAGCTGTACGTGCCCGTCTCCACCTGCAGGTGGATCACAGACTTCCTGTCTGACAGGAAGCAGCACGTGAGGCTGGGGAAACACCTCTCTGACTCCCGGACCATCAGCATCGGTTCCCCTCAAGGCTGCGTTCTTTCCCCTCTGCTCTTCTCCCTGTACACCAACAGCTGCACCTCCAGTCACCAGTCTGTCAAGCTCCTGAAGTTCAGACGACACCACCCTCATCGGACTCATCTCTGGTGGGGACGAGTCTGCCTACATATGGGCGATGGACCATCTGGTGACCTGGTGTGGGGGAAACCACCTGGAGCTCAACGCTCTCAAGGCAGTGGAGATGGTTGTGGACTTTAGGAAGAACGCAGCCCTACCCACCCCCATCACTCTGTGTGACTCCCCAGTAACTGCTGTGGAATCTTTCCGCTTCCTGGGCACAATCATCGCCCAGGACCTCAAACGGGAGCAGAATATCTGCTCCCTCACCAAAAAAGCACAGCCGAGGATACTCCATCACCATCTGGTACGCTGCAGCCACAGCCAAGGATAAGGGCAGGCTGCAGCGTGTCATCCGCTCTGCAGAGAAGGTGATCGGCTGTAATCTGCCATCCCTCCACGACCTGCATGCCTCCAGAACCCTGAGGCGGGAAGATAGTGGCCGACCCCCCTCCCCTCCGCGCTCCATCAGGACCAGAACCTTTCTCCATCAGGACCAACACCTTTCTCCATCAGGACCAGAACCTCTCTCCATCAGGACCAGAACCTCTCTCCATCAGGACCAACACCTTTCTCCATCAGGACCAGAACCTCTCTCCATCAGGACCAGAACCTCT